GTGAGTGATACCCCACAGAAGAAGTTAATTTGAAATTCATTTGCGTAATAGCATTCAAGTGTTTTACATACTTGCTGCAAGCTCCTACTTTATTGATCCTCCAATGCCTGCAGCAAATCTGATGTAGGTATTACAATCATCTCACTGCGTAATCTTAAGTCATTCCATGAGCATTATCAGATTTGTGTACTCAGTGATACATTTAAAAAAAAGATCATGTAATTTTAGATGATGCATAACAGATATGCCAAAGGGGACTGCAATAAAATTACATATTCTACATCCTAATTCTGCGTCTACCTTATTTTGGGGATTTTTTTCAAGCTTAATACTAGTTTAAGATTATTTATTTCAGTACTTTAATTATTGGTCAATTCGGGGGCACAAGCACAGGGTAGCAAAAAGAATCTTTCAACAATAATGACTTCTAACAATAAATGACTACTAGATTTCTCAATTTTGTAGCTTCACGAAGTGCTAAAAGTGATACTAAAAGGAGTATGTAAACGGAATGCAAAGACAAATGTGTCAAAGTATTTGCAATACCCTTTATCAGCAGCTCCTGTTTAGGATACTGGAAGAAAGAGTACCTACATGGAAATGTTGAGCTTGAAGGAAGAGTCTTTTTGTAACTTATCCACTAAAGAATAAGGCTCATCGAGAGAGATACAACTTGACCACTCCTTCTTCAAACAGTACATGGTGAAAATAGTTATTTCTGAAAATGAAACAGATGCAAAGATTAAATTAGGTAATCTGTGATTTTCATTTTGCATAAAGAATTGTAATACCCGAATAAATGCATTTTACAAATGCCCTCTAAGAATCTCTAATTTTGGCAACATTGTTGTTAATGTAGATTGCGATTTCCTCCTCTCCCATGTACTGCATTCAGAGATGATTACATCATCTCAAAAAGACAGAAAAACAGAAATAGGCCAAGAAGGTCCATTATAGCATACACAGAGTAATTAAAAAGACTATAACTTTTTAGTTAGAAAAGAAGATAACACATGAAAAAAAGGGTTATTATGTTTCTAAAGAGACAAATAAAATCATGTGCAATTTAAGTTCTCAGAAAGGACAGTAATGCCTTCCATCTGTTGAGGACAGCCTTGGAAGCATAGGAAGAAACTCTGTTCCTTGGTCTAGCAAAGAATTTAAACTCGCAGCTTAAACATTTGAGCAAATTGTTGAAACCAACGGTAGTCATTTGCAGTTAATTATCAAATTGGTCACTTTCCCGAAATAACTTACTAAGTGTTAATACAGAGTAATCAATGTGTTTTTAAACCCCCTAGTATAGCTGAAAGACAATGACATGTTCTGTCTTAATAGTAGGATAGTCTTAATAGTAGGATAGCAAGACAAATTATTTCTTTTAAAGAACAATCAAATTAAATGCAAACTATTAATACACATATTCATTTTAGGGTAAAAAGGGAAAAGGTGAGTAAAACCAATTAGAAAATGAAAACATGTTAATATTTTGTTTTAATATTATCCCAAATTAAAATGTTTCCACTTTTAGGTCAGATTGCTCTTCATAAAAATATACCTTTTAAAAAATTAAATTTTACAATGAAATGTTCCACTCATCAAAATACTTTTAAACATTTTTGGTTTCTTTGCTCCTGTGAGAGAAAAATTTCTGGTTCAAAGCAAAAGAGCAATTTTTCTCATAGCTCTGTAGTTAAAGGCTTTGAGTAAATCATGAATCAATACTGCAAATTATGTAGGCAGGTCAGAAGGAATGTTCTTTTTCCTCCAAAAAGAATGTAATTTCAACGAATCACTGGTAACTACATTATATTAAATTCTTTAACAAAATACAAAGGCATATTCAAAGATTTCCCTAGCAGTCTTATCAGTACAAGAAAAAGCAAAACTAGCTATTGCCCTTTTCATACTTATCAGAACTTTTTGCCTGAGGGTTCAGGACTTTCTGTTATGTTGGTAATGCTGTGGACTGGTCAAATATTTTAAACAACGCTTGATTCAGTGTCATCACTCAAGCATGCTTCCAACAACAGAAAATTGCTGTGAAACAGGCAAAAAATTTCCTCCATGGTCTACCTTTGAGAAAAAGGAAAGTTAACAACAGAGAAGCTGCTCTCTTAAAGATTCCCTATTTCTATGAACCTCTTAGTTTCCAGTGCCTGAGGGTCTTGGAAATACAATCTATGCTCAAACTCAATTCTCAATACTTACATTCACATGGCTTTGCTCAGGACCCGACTCCGCCTGTTCACTTCACCATACACATGGGTAGTTAAAATAATAAGCAGTCGGACTCACCAAACCTTGAGACCACAAGAATTCTTCAGAAGTAAAAGGTGGCTTTTGCATTTTCTGCTGCCATACAGTAAGGACTGTTCTCACTAAAATGTCTCAAAAGACAACATATATTAGCAAATATTTAAACTTTTGATAACAAAAACTGACAGTCAAACATATCACTATAGCATATATAAAGCATGTTCGCTGTAATTTCTTCCAAGAAACAGAAGAATACTATACATTCTTATTCTTAGAGAAATATATTAAAAATGCGAAAGATATGTAAGGACACATAATCGTAAAAGTAGAAGTTCCATTTTCTTCTCAGAACTCCATACATTTCATTTGTACTAATATCATTTTGTCATATGATCATATTATCATGTACTAATATCATTATACTATTATCATTTATGTATCCCCAAAAATACATATTGAAGAAAAAGTGAATGTCCAATCACCTGGAAAACCTGCTCTGTATGTACATATTCAGTTTTTGTTTAGAAGTCAAAAGAAATGTTGAGGATTGCAGATTAGCAGAAGCCTGAAATCAATCAACTGGTATCTTCTGAGTTCAGTATAATTAGAAACTCAAACTTTACACTGTTACATCCAAGCAGAAACCAAGTATGAGAAATACTGTTTTGAAAAAAAATATTTTTAGTAAATTGTGAAATCAAGAACCTCAAACAAAAATTATATAGCAACCATTCCTAAAAATGGTTTTGTTAATATCACAGCTTTTGTGCAAAAAACTGTAGAGAATAAAAGTTTACAAAGAAGTAATTCAGATTTCAGAGCTTGCTTTTAAATGATGACAGGCTCTATTTGTTCCCAAACAACCAGTCCTGGATTCAGCACCCAAAGAAATCATTCAAAGAGATGGTGCATTTAGTAAAACTGACTATAATTATGTTTGGCAAGAAAGAATTTTAGAAACTATTATAAAAGTCTTCTTGGTGTCCAATAAATATTTTGTTATTTCAACATAATTAACTACTGCATATCAAAATGTATTGTCACCACATAAGGAGATAAAAGTACATGGATGGTGAAATGTAGTAATGTTTTATTACTACCTTAGGGTATTACATACTGCTAGCACGAAAAACAGATCAAGTCAAAATGAAACAAACAGAATGCTGGTAGAAATCCTCTGCCACTGAATGCAATACCACTGAAGTTAGTGAGATTTTTGGGGTGTAACTGAGAGCAAAGTTTGGTATAAAATCTGCCCGCAATGTCAACTATTTCCTCTAAGGCTATTACAACTAATATATAACAGGCTCTATTTCACTGACTCGAAAGAATTATTCTCTATACCAAAGTTACTATTTTAGTTTAGTCACTTCAACCTAAAAATAGAGTTACTGAACACTGAATATTGGGTAAATGCTACTGCAGAGCAGCATCCTCAACCAGGCCAAGGAATTCCACAGAAAAGACCCCATGTCCTGCTTAGAGAGATGCCAAACAAGAAAGTAATCACAGAATCACCTAGGTTGGAAGGGACCTTAAGATCATCTAGTCCAACCATATAAAACAAAAACAACCAACAACCAAACAAAATCAAACCAAACAAAACACACACACCAAACTAAACCATATTCCCGAGTGCCATGTCAATTTGTCTTTTGAATATCCCCAGGGATGGTGCCTCAACCACTTGCCTGGGCAGCCCATTCCAATGCCTGATAACCCTTTCAGTGAAGAAATTTTTCCCAATATCCAGCCTGAACCTCCCCCGGTGCAACTTGAGGCCATTTCCTCTTGTCCTATCACCTGTAACTTGGGAGAAGAGACCTGCTCCTGCCTCTCTACACCCTCCTTTCAGATAGTTGTAAAGAGCGATAAGGCCTCCCCTCAGCCTCCTCTTCTCCAGACTGAACAACCCCAGCTCCCTCAGCCTCTCCCCATTTGGCAACACAATCCTTCCAACCCTTGGTGTCAACTGTAAGTATGCAGAAAGTATACTAATGGGTGGGGAAAAAAAATACAGGTGAAAAAAATCTAAGAGTTAACAAGAGAGTGAAACAAAACATGGTCCCCGAGTACTTCTACTGAGGGACAGGCCCCATGAGGCGGTATCACCTCCTGTCGAGGAGCCGCCTCAGAAGAGAGACGGGGACATTGCACACTGGCTGGGGAGGACTGGGACGGAGATGGGGTGGAAAGGGCGGATTTCTCCTCTGCAGGCAACAGGAATTAGTTTAGGTTCAAGTGTTTATTTTATCGCAGGGCCCTTAGGCCGGTCGGCAGTCAGTCAGTCACTCAGTCAGTCAGTCACTCAGTCAGTCAGTCAGTCACTCAGTCAGTCAGTCAGTCGCGTGCGCCTGTCGCTAAGGGCCCCTAGCAACCGTTCCCCGCCTAAAACTACTCCCCCACCCACGCTCTTCCGGTCCCCTCCTCCCCGCGGCGGTCGAGCCCGACACTTTTCGTTCCGGGGTCTGTGAGGGCCGGGGAAGAACCGGGGCGACCCTCTGCGGTGAGCGTCGGTCAGCCCGAGGGGCTGGAGCCGAGGGAGCGGGTGAGGACGGGTGCGAAGCGGTGTGGAGCTCCCCGCTCCACCGCGAGGGCCGGGAGAAGGAGCGCGGCGCGGAGGCAGCGCGGCTCTGGTAG